TAATAATAATAATAATAATAATCCAAATTATTCATAAACGAACGGGGCGTTACACCGCCTAGCTCCGCCTAGGCGCTACTAGCCCGCCTGGTCAATTTTTATGGCCGATTTTAGCAAATCGTAGGCGGCACACCGCCGCCTAGCGTCGAGGCGCTGCCTAGGTGGCCGCCTAGACCAATTTTTAGAACAATAGAGGCAGCAGATACATGCCTCAGCACCCGGTTGCTTGGCACAAAAATTCGAGAAGTTTAATCTTTCACGAAGGACGTGTGTATGGGGTTACAAATTGGCAACTTGTGCCGGACAAAATATTTTCAAAACAACCAACTCAAGTCACAAGTTTGTTTTCGGTCAACAGACAAACATGTACGAGATTGTTGATGACAACTTTCTAAGTTTTATGTTTAACTTCAAAAGTTTCAGCGAGCTATCCGACCCCCAAACAATTGGCGAAGTTCATCATACCCATCCCTAAACTATTTTTCTTCTGCAGATTCTTCCAAGATTTTTGGTAATTTTTTTAATGCAATTATTCTGAACCGTTGTGCAACCAATTAAATAAATTAAATTAATTTGTTTTATTTTTTTGGTTTAATTGGGCGTACTGTTATGTAGCAAAACTTACAAACAACTTCAAAAGGCATTGAAAAAAAGTTGATCGATGTTGTTCTAGAAGATGTTGAGTGAGTTATACTTCTTGCTCATTTATTTATATGTAGAGTGATTATGATTTTATATTATATTAAAATTTTTATGTACAATTTTATACAGGCTGCCATTTAAAATGAACATTATGGGATATGTGGACATTCTTCTTGACGCCTACAACAATTGCTCTCTTAATGATTTGGGTGTAGTCATTTTACAATTTTCCCGAGTGAAACTTTTGAAGATGGTACATTGTTCACCTAATTTATATAATAATATGGTCGATTTTATATTTTTTATTAATCTTACAATTTATGTTGTTATCCTTAAAAAACTATTATTGTATTTTAGGATCTATAAAAGTTGCTAACATATTTGATGCTACAAAGATGATAAGGTGTAAAGTTCCCAAAATTTTGGATTTTAAAGAAAGGTATTGAAAATTATTTATAATTTTAATAATTTTATATTATTTGATTTTATACTTGATCGTTGATATAGCCACAGTTAGTACTGCCGGCTCGACCGGGTAGTATCTGATATAGCATGTTGTACCCCAACCGGTTTTTATGGGTATATATTGAAGAATACGTCTATACATGGGCTAATACGCTTGATATGATAATATGGACCGAGCCCAACCTAGGCCAGTCCAATTTGGACCATAAGGTACACTCCCCCTATAAAAAGGGGGCTAAGGTACTCATTTCTTCCATCCTCTACACACTCTCTCCCTACACACTCTCTCTCTATATGCCTTCTCATATGAATCCAGTAATGCCTTAAGCATCGGAGGCCCAAAGCCGGGCACCCCTCCCGGGGTCTCTGGCTTTGGGTTCTTGTAGGTACGGTGGTCGTCCGAGTCGAGGGA